CACAAATGAAAATTTAAGATGAGATAATAGCTGCCAAAATATGAAAGAGGACCATTTCTATGTAAACAAGTGTTGATGTAATCAACAAGAAATTAAAATTATACTTAACTAACTGTCAAACTAAGAAAAAGAGAAAAAGAAAGCGATAGCCAATGAAGACTTGGAAATGGAACCACTCTTTGTCATCACTTCAAGCAGGGGAAAACAATCGAGACTGGTTCAACAAATTTCACCTATAAATACTTAGCTAGCCTTGCAGTATTTCTCATCCCTCGCTAAGCAATTTAGTACTTGAAGAATAGAGCGAGAGCATAATCAAAATGAAAAGTTTCGTTCAGGCTTTTGTCCTCTTGGCCTTGGCTTCCTCATTTGCCTCCGCTTTTGACCCCAGTCCTCTTCAGGACTTCTGTGTAGCCATTGATGAGCCAAAGAACGCTGGATTTCTCACTTCTCTTTCTGTATATTCAATATATCTAGCTAACTCTTCTGCTATGTGTAGCTACGCATTAGTATATTCTTACTGATTTGATTGTTTGATGCAGTGTTTGTGAATGGGAATTTTTGCAAGGACCAAGCTCGCAAAGCAGAGGATTTCTCCTTTTCAGTTATAAAGCCTGGAGACACAAACAATCCAGTTGGTTCAAATGTCACAACTGTGAATGTAGATCAAATTCCAGACTTAACACTCTTGGCATTTCAGCAGTCCGTATTGACTATGCACCTGAGGGCCAAAACCACCTCACACTCACCCACGCGGCACTGAGATTCTTGTTGTTCTGAGGGAACTCTTCTTGTTGGTTTCGCACTTCCAATCCTAACAACACACTTATCAGCAAAGTTCTTCACAAGGAGATGTATTCGTGTTCCCCATTGGTCTCATTCACTTCCAATCATATCGGAAAAACAAATGCGGTTGCCTTTGCTGGTTTGAGCAGCCAGAACCCTGGTGTCATTACAATTGCCAACGCAGTATTTGGATCAAATCCTCCCATTAATCCAGATTTTCTAGCCAGGCATTCCAGTTGGACGTAAATGTGGTGAAAATCTCCGAAAAAGTTCTAGATAGAAACAATTAGAGAAAATTTTTTCAAATGCATGGTAATATGCTTGCCTTTGAATTTGATTGAGTTGTGGTTGTGACAATGATGTAATTAAGGGGTTACATTTATTATTTATTGTACCTCCAGTTGCTTTCTATGCTTCTGTACTGATATAATTAATATTGATTGCAGTTTGTGTCTATTTTTTCACTTCTCTCTTCTCTATTAGTTACATTTTCTATGACATGAAAATAAATTTGATTGATAATGAATCCCCCAAGTGTGACTGCACCCGTTTTTGCTCACGTCTAAATACTAATGCATAAATAACTTTATACATCGTTTAAGGAAATTGGAATCATTACTTATTAAGTTGTTCACTTTTAACAATGTTGATGAAAGACAGAAAATCTACAGTTTGGAGAAGCTTATAAAAAGAAGAATGCGATTTTCCAGTTTGAAAACTGATGTTCAAAAGTTAGTTAGATTAACTAACTGGTCCATTAATTCGGAAGGCCATGTTTTGTTGAAAGAATTGCAAAGTCGTCAAGGTCCGTTCAAAACAGAACACAAGCGCTACTGGATTCAACGAGTTGGTTATGAAAGTATTGCAAATTCTGTCATTCTCTGCTTTGTTTTGGTTTTGTTTTCTCTGATCTTTAACAAAGCCTAACGCCAGAAAATTCAGTTTCAATATTTTAGCAATAAGTGTTTTAAAAGTTGACTTTTTGGACCCCTTTATTGAATTTCCATATGTCAATAACTAATTACTTAACAAGCAACATTGAATGATAGAGTAAACGACCTTTCCCACCAGGGTTTACCTTAATGGCACTTTTCCACTCAAAAAGTTTCAAAATACCACTTTTCACACCCAAAATTAATATTTTATTACTACCAAAACCGATTCTAGTAGCTAAAATTCTCTATGCTACCACCATTTAACCTCTGGTCTTCGCTATACAAAACTTTCTCACTTCGATACTGACTTTTCATCGACTGTCGACTATCGCAAAACTAGAGCTTCATGTTCTAGCTGATTTTCACTGATTCTGATGACAAATGTTCAATCGGTCACCAGCATTCGATCCCTAGCCTCCACTCTACAAACCCCCTCTTATTCTAACTCTTGGTAACTCGTCAATATTGGCTAAAAAGTAAAGTGTATTTTGGATATTAATGGAATATAACTCTAGATGGGAAAGTGGATTTTAAAACTTTTTAAATGAGAAATATAATTAAGGCAAACCTTGCCTTGGGTGGGAAAAAGTCTTTTACTCTTAAATGATAATTAATTTATGACTATCTTGGTCTGGGCCATTGTCAACTTTTTGACCAAATTGGCGGCTTAGATATTGTACCAAATGATAACACTAATATTTTGATGCTATTTTCACCAGTCAGTATTCTTTAACAACTCTTTATTCTTTCGAGTTTCGACTACCTCCTTTGGGGTCAGCACGGATAGCAGATAAAGCCGAAATTTAGGGGTAAATCAGAATTAGAACCAAATTTATACAGAACTAGTATTGTGTGGATAGGTTTCTATTCTATTTTGTTGGAACTAATACTGTACGGTTCCGATTTTGGTTTTCATGTGTGGAGAATCGGAACCGAAATTGAACCTGGGAAAGACCGTATTTTTGGAATCTGTTTGAAACTTGTTTTGGAACCTATTTTGAAACTGGACTGCAATGAAAATAGTTTGCGTATATAACGACTTAAACGTACAATACAATTGAAACATTGGAATTATTGACATCTCTTATTTATGCAAAAAACTTAAAAGGAGATGATTCTTTCTAAGAAGACTTATATGTCTAACATGATAATCCCCTTATGTGTTTGATGTTAAAATCATTTGAATACCATCAATTAAAGATTAGTCTTCATTGAAGAATTTAATCCCACTCTAATTTCTAACAAGGCTATGATACATATGGGGAAACAAAACATTGCCTGAAAATAATGTCATAACATGCATACTAGTTTTTCATTACAGTCAATCTATAAATTGATCATGATCTATACTATAATTTCAGTATTTCATGTGAAGAGATACAAACATATTCAAGATTAAGAGTGTATATTATTGGTCTTCTTAGAATAGTGTAAAACATTAGTTCGCTATTAAAATGCTTTTATTGTTAAATTTCGAAGAAATATTAGTATTGTGTGTGCTTCTCAAATAGTTTCAAGGGATTTTTTCTTTGAAAAACAGGCCATTTTTCGATTTAATCAAATATTAATACTATTGTATTGTTGTATATTGTTATATAACATGCATTAAACTACAGGATAAGAAGCACTATGCGATAGAATGAAAGCAATCACTTTCATATTAATATGTGCAATACACATTGCGCGCTCATTGTGGAAGGATGTCAATAAAATGAAGAGTAAACGACTTTTTCCCACCCAAGTTTTGCCTCAATGACACTTTCCCACCTAAAAAGTTTTAAAATATAATTTTCCCACTCAAAGTTTATATTCTGTTACTACTCAAAGCCTATTTCGACGGCAAAAATTCTCTCCGTTACCAGCATTTGAATCTCTGGTCTCTTCTCTACAAAACTCTTTCACTCTGGTACCTTATTTCTCACTGATTGTCAGCCACCACAAAACTAGGGTTTCTTGTTCTTAGTTAATTTCTGGCTGATTTCAACGGCATATATTTAATTGGTCACCACCATTCAATCCATCGGCATCTATTCTACAAAACTCCTCTTACCTTGACTTTTGGTAATTCATCGAATGTCAGTTGAGAAAATAAAGTATATCTTGAGTATTAACAAAATATAAACTTTGGGTGGAAAAGTGATATTTTGAAACATTTTGGTTGGAAAAGTATCATTAAGGTAAACCTTGGGTGGAAAAAAGTCGTTTACTCTGTAATAAATATCACATATTGTCATATCCTATTTCCTTACAAAGTTGATTTGAGTTTTTTTTTTTTAACTAGTTTTATAATAATTTTTCTTTTCCTTTTTTAAAGAAACAATCAAACCCCTTTTTCTTTAAAACAAAAACACCTATTTTCTTAATTAAATATGTTTTTATAAAATCACTTAAAAGTGTTTTTTAACTCAGCAATGCTTTCTAATAAATGTTTAAAAATTAATAAAAGAGTACTTTTTTTTCATTTATTTTTGACATTTTCTATGAACCTTAAAGGTATAAGAAAATTTATTAAAAAAAAAATAAAAATGACATCTAAATAGATAGGGACATAATTATAAAGAGTTTCACCTCTTAAACGCAATCTAATATATATTATCACATTGAAAATATACATGACAATGCAGTTAAAAAAGTAAAATTAGTTACATATTTATAAAATGATTGAAGAGAATGATCTATAGAAAAAAAAAATATCCCACAGCATTATATATGATGAAGACGACTAACAATCTCTTTTAAGGATAAAAATTTCCTTGACAAAACATATGGGATAGTTTGAAGTTCGTATCTAAGAGGGATTACGTAGGATCCAACAAATTGGATATAAAAATCCTACTTGAGCTGTAGCCGCCAAGGATTTGCAGTTAAGCAGGAAAGAGATTTATCTGAGCTAGTACATGTGTCTTGTTAATTATGTATATATCTCCACTGAAGGATCATGTTGGTGATACTTTTAATTAAACTTAAGATAATATAGAGAAACTCATACGTGGTATACACTAAGTAGCTAGCAGCCTAAGTGAGATATTAAGGAGAACCACTTCCATATATTAAAAATTTGTTAATGTAAGCAAGCTGATTGGAAAAGAATTTCTACTTAATTGACAATTGCATTTGGTTGCTAAGGACTCAATCATGGTGGAAATTGATTAAAAATACATAGGTAACCATTAACATGAAGACTTAGAATTTGAAAATTAGTCTTCACTCTTCATCATCTACTTGGAGTAGAAAATAAATATCAACTGATTTCAACTATAAATAGAGTGGCTTGCCTTGCAGCATTTCTCATCCCTCGTCACCAAACAATAAAGTTTGAAGCCTATTAGAGAGCCTGGCTATATTCACAATGAAAATTTTCCTTTCAGCTTTTGTCCTCTTGGCATTGGCTTCTTCATTTGCCTCTGCCTTTGACCCCAGTCCTCTTCAGGACTTCTGTGTAGCCATCGATGACTACAGAAACGGTGGTATGTACATACTTAGTCTATGTCAACATTTTTATTTATTTATTTTAATGAATGTACATTGGTGACACATATTTCAGAATATTAGAGACTAATGTAGCTGTATATGCATGTATTCTTACTTTTGCATGGCGTTGATTCTATGACTAATTAGCGATCGACATTTCATTCTTTTATGCAGTGTTTGTGAATGGAAAGTTTTGCAAGGACCCCAAGCTGGCCAGAGCGGAGGATTTCTTCTTCACAGGCCTTAACATACCCGGAAACACAAATAATCCAGTTGGCTCAAATGTCACTACTGTCAACGTAGAACAAATTCCGGGACTCAACACTCTTGGCATATCAGCAGTCCGTATTGACTATGCGCCATTTGGCCAAAATCCACCTCACACTCACCCTCGTGCCACTGAGATTCTAATAGTCTTAGAAGGAACTCTTCTTGTTGGTTTCGTCACATCTAATCCTGACAATAAACTTTTCACCAAAGTTCTAAACATGGGTGATGTGTTCGTCTTCCCCATTGGTCTCATCCACTTCCAATTCAATATCGGGAGAATAAATGCCGTTGCCTTTGCTGGTTTAAGCAGCCAAAATCCTGGTGTTATCACCATAGCAAACGCAGTATTTGGTTCGGATCCTCCCATTATTCCAGATTTTCTTGCCAGGGCCTTCCAGTTGGACGTGAATGTGGTGAAATATCTTCAGTCGAAGTTTGGCCATTATTAGATAAATTCAATAATATGTTTGGCTATCTGAATTGTCATAATCCTGAGTCCCTGACAAAGGATGTAATAGACAGTTTATATATATATATATATGTCCCTAGGTCTGCATTTGGTTTTTGGTTAATGATATAACGTTGCAAACTTGGAGTTAGTTTTTGTTGCCTCTCTCTGTTCCGAATGCAAAAGTACTGGTTCTGTCAAATATCTGCTATATGTACTAACTTAAATATCCTCAAGGTGCATTGCTAGTGACTTAGTGGTGCAAATATAATAAAAAAAATTTAAATGTTATTTCTAGAATCTATTAAGATGATAACGCCAATATAATTGTCAATTACCTTTCCTAAAAATGATGTATACAATAATTAAACACGGTAGCAATAAAAATTATTTTCTTTAATTAAATTAAATATTTTAGTAGGCTTGCAAAGTTTATAACCATAATTATAAAGGTTTTTTTTTTTTTTTTTTTTTTAAATTTTAAGCTCATAGTGGAGAATTTTGGGAAGATATGCTCAATTTCCTTATTTTATTGAAATCCTTTCTTTAAATAAGTAATAGAGTTTTATAATGAATACTATTACTCTTATAAAGTTTGTATATAAATTTACTCTTCTGATCATAATATATCATATCATTTTGTATATATATCTTTATAAAAAGATTTTTGAAGTCTAATATTATTCTTTTATAATAATCCAAGCAACTGGCTTCACCTAGTCTTCGGCGTCGAACCAGTTATACACAAAATTCTTATTAATTGTATATTTAGAATAAAATTATATCCAGCTATAGTAATCCTACTCTTCCCCATTTAAAAATCAAATAATTAACTAGTCAACTATTTAATCTCGTAACATATACCCCAAGAATTTTGCTCTTAACCGACGTCTTATAAAAAGACAGAAGAAATTTTGTAGGGTCTTTCGGGAATAGTACGACGCCGCTGAGTGCCGTTTAGTTTTCTATAAAAGAATCAAAAGATGATCACCAATTTACATATATACTTAATTAATTAAACAATATTAGAGGCTGCTCTAAGACCCAATATCTCTGCTAATATTATTTTATAAACCTAACATATACCTGATCCACATGTATTAAGTTCCGAATCAACATGTGTATATACATAGCTTTTTGTGCAATAATTTATTGATTAATTAAACGTTATCCATTATCTCGGCATTAATCTCATTTGTGTCAATAATCTTCAATAAGAAGAGATTTTTGAAGGAAAGAGTGATAAAATTATAGTGCTGTGTATAACGATTGCACACTTTGTTTTATAGATCTAGTAATGAGACACAAGAAGGGTTAAGAGTTTTTCACCAACAAAAATCAGGGTGAAATTCCTTTCACTAATATCCCCGATAATTAATGTTCTTCTTTAAGTCAACGAAATTTCTAAATGAATTAGAATACACTATCAGGCCAAGCTAGATAAATGAAAGAAGACCTCTTCCATGTCAAAGACGTGCCCATGTAAACATATGAACAGCAAATATTAGTTTGCCCGGCCTTATTTTTTAAAGATTAATTTTGACCGACTTAAGCAAATCTTCATCCGCTTAGGGCAGGGAGATTAAAGACTGCTTCCATGAGTTACATCTATAAATCAGTACCTTGTGTTGCAGCATTTTTCATCCCTCACCAAGAAAATAATACTTGAAGATTAATAGAGAGAGCCTAATTAATCACAATGAAAAGTTTCCTATTTCCTTTTGTCCTAGTAGCTATTGTTTCCTCATTTACCTCCGCTTCTGACCCTAGTCCTCTTGAAGACTTCTGTGTAGCCATCGACGACCCAAAGAACAGTGAATTTTCTGTTGATTCTTTAAAACTATGCTATATTTTTTTAGTCTACATTGTAAAAGCCACGTTAATAATTTGATTCTTTGGTGCAGTGTTTGTGAATGGGAAGTTCTGCAAGGACCCAAAACTTGTCAAAGCAGAAGATTTCTTTTTTCAGTTAGAAAGCCTGGAAACACAAATAATCCTGTCGGTTCAAACGTCACTGCTGTAAACGTACAACAAATTCCAGGACCCAATACTCTTGGCATATCAGCAGTCCGAATTGACTATGCCCCATATGGCCAAAACGCACCCCACAATAATCACCCTCGTTTCACTGAGATTCTTGTCGTCCTGGAGGGTACTCTTCTTGTTGGTTTCGTCACTTCCAATCCTAATAACACACTTATTAGCAAAGTTCTTGATATGTATCAGCACCTGTGTGCTCTGCTCACGGTGCAGAACCAACCCACTCTCAATTCACGGTATTGAGAAGACCAAACAACTGTTTGCAAAACTCTTTCCTTTTTCTTCCAAAACAACTCATGGTTACATATAGGCAACCATGTACAACATTGGAAACATGCATGTCCCATAATAATGAAAAACATTAATCACAAAGGACAAACAACCAAGCAAATAAAAGTAGCAGACAAAAGTCTGATAATAGCCAGTAAAACAATAAATGATAATGAAATCAAATCCCATGAATCAAGCAACGTAATCGGCCAACTTAATATTCGGTTTGCTGGTTCTTGTGCTTCTTCTACGTGATGCCGTGACCTCTTCTATATTCGTATCATTTGCCCCCCCTGTGAGAATAACCTTGTCCTCAAGGTTGAAGTTTGGAAACTGCTCTTTAATAGTAGAAATGGGCTCCCACGTAGCATCCTCTTCAGGTAATGTACTCCAACGAATTAACACCTCCCTTACTCTGCCACTCGCACTTTGAACCCATCATTCACCCAAAACAGCAGCTGGTTGTAACAATGGTAAACCATCATCAGCATATGGAGGTAAAGTTGGTTGCACAACCCCATGGTCCCCTAGTCGACGCTTCAAGAGAGCAACGTGAAAGACAGGATGGATTTTGGCCTCATTAGGTAATTGAAGTCGATAAGCAACATTACCAACATGTTCAATAATTTGATAAGGACCGAAAAACTTGCTGGCCAACTTTTGATACGGATGTTTAAGAACAGAGTGTTGGCGATACGGTTGTAATTTTAAATAAACCCAATCTCCCACCGAAAAGACTTTTTCACGTCGCCCTTTATCAGCCTGTTGCTTCATCCGATTGCGAGTAATGACCAAGTTAACTTTGAGTTGGCGAAGAATGCCATCTCTAGAAAGTAAAGTGCTGTCAACCTCAGCTACAACGGTAGAACCTGGAACATATGAATTCAAAATGGGTGGTGGATGACCATATAACGCTTCAAAGGGTGTCATGTGAATGGAGCTATGGAAAGAAGTATTATATGAAAATTCAGCCCACGTAAGGTAAGCTTCCCAACGTTTCGGCATTGCATGAACAAAGCAACAGAGATATTGTTCTAAACATCGATTGACAACTTCGGTCTGGCCGTCCGTCTTAGGGTGATAAGCCGAACTGGTGCACAATGTTGTACCTTGCAATCGGAAAAGTTCTCGCCAAAAGTGACTCATGAAAATTCGATCACAATCGCAAACGACGGATGTAGAAATGCCGTGAAGCTTGATGATATTTCTAACAAAAGCATCGGCTACATCCCTAACGTTGTAAGGATGGGCAAGAGCAATGAAATGGGCATACTTTGTGAGGCGATCAACAACTACAAAAATAGCATCTTTGCCGGCTGACTTAGGGAGACCAACGATAAAATCCATAGACACGTCAGTCCATACACCCGAAGGAAGACTCAATGGCTCAAGTAGGCCAGCAGGGGAATGGGTATCATATTTGTTGCGTTTACAAGAATTGCGCTGTTGGACATGTAATGTGACATCTCGTTTCATACCCCTCCAATTAAAAATAAGAGACAAACGTTTATAGGTACGAAGAAGGCCAGCATGCCCACCCACTGGGCTGTCATGAAACTCATGTAAAAGAGATTGCTTAAGAGCTAGAGAATCAGGCACCATAATTCACCCTGCACGCATGGTACAACCATCCTTCAATCTGTGGCCCTCCACAGATAATGGATCATCTTTCAGTTGCTGCATAATAAGACCCAAAACTGAATCACGTTGGGTAGCAGCCCTTAATTCAAGCCAAACTTCCTAAATAGGACCAGAGATGGCATGTAGTTCAGGATCCCACCCACTACGAGATAGTGCATCTGCCACATTATTTTCTCTCCCTGGTTTATAAATAATCTCGTAATCAAATCCCAAAAGTTTAGCAATCCATTTTTGTTACTCAGGAGTGCTGCTCAAGCAATAACGCAAACTTCGTTGATCAGTGCAAATTTTAAACTTTCTTCCTAACAAATATGGCCTCCACAACTTAATTGCCTCCAAAATAGCCAACATCTCTTTTTCATACGTAGACCACGCTAATTTTGTAGGACCTATTGCCTTGCTAAGGAAAGCAATCGGTTTGTCATTCTGAGAAAGTACCGTGCCCACACCTAATCCAGAAGCATCTGTTTCAATTATAAAGTCTTCCAAAAAATTAGGAAGTGCCAAAACTGGCGTAGAAGTCATAGCATTTTTTAAATTATTAAAAGCATCTTTGGCTTCATCATTCCATGTGAACTACCCCTTCTTTAACAACTGAGTTAATGGCCGAGCAATAAGACCATAATGTCGCACAAACTTACAATAGTATCCGGTAAGGCCAAGAAAGCCCCGCAACGCAGTCACTGTCTTGGGTCGTGGCCAATGAATCATAGCTTCAATTTTTCGTTGATCGACTTTCACACCCTTCGTGGTAATAATATGACCGAGATACTTGACTTCAGTTTGGCCAAAAATACACTTTGATGGCTTTATATAAAAAGAGTGTGCAACCAATATATCCAATGTAATCCGAAGATGTGCAAGATGATCCGCCCAGGATTTACTATAAATTAAGATATCATCGAAAAAACTAAGATAAAGTGACGTAAGTGCACCTTAAAAATGGAATTCATTATGGCTTGAAATGTCAAAGGCGCATTGCACAATCCGAAGGGCATTACCAAATATTCGAAATGGGAACGCCGTTTTGTGAACATCGTTAGGATGAACACGAATTTGGTGATAACCCGCTCGTAAATCAAGTTTGGAGAAATAAGCCGCACCAAACAACTCATCCAACATATCCTCAATGGTTGGGATTGGAAAACGATCTTTAATAGTCGCCTCATTCAGAGCTCGATAATCTGTACAAAACTGCCACGTAGTGTCTGGTTCTTCTCTTTCTCCTTGGCGTTACCCTCCTCTGAACCTATATCAGATGCTTGAGAGGAAAAAGACATTTCA